ACCACTATATTTCCCTAAAAATCAAATAATACCGGTTTTATGTATTTCCGTATTAAACCTGTAGTCAATTCATGTTCCAGGGCCACTTGGTTTAGCCGTGCATTATCAGCCAATATACCATGGATTGCATATGCAAATTTTGTGTTTGGACCAATCAAATCAATGGATTAACACCATCAATATACTGGTATAATATAATTCCCATTATATAAGACCTATTTTTGTTTATATTTGCGGCTCTAAATGTGTTTATTTAAAATCTCCGACTAAACAGTTATTGTCCGTTCCTCTTGATCTTTGTTGGAACAGCGCGTCCAGTGACGACACACCCCCCTTGTCATTCTCCTTCCCAGAGTTCCTTGCGGTTAGATCACCGAAAGTATATATTCGTAATAGAACTCTGCCTGGGGAGATTGACCCCTTGTGTCAAAGGTGAAACAAAATGGCGCCGTCCCGGTGCTCAATGTGTTTTCGACTGACGTATTCAATAATTGGTATACTTCTAGGAATTATAGCGCTGTTTGTGTTCGCTATAGTATATGGAAGTTACCATGCAGCGTCTTGGGGAGGGATCAGTAGTGAGTACCATGTTATTTAGTCTGACGTTGTTGTACACTCGGCATAACGGGTGAATGACATATCAGTTTCAACTTCGCTCCTGGTAAATAATTACAATTTTAACAACAAGCCGAAAACATGCCAAACATGCATCATACAACGCACGCGACATCGCGTTGTGTTACTACTTGAAGGTTACGATTCTATTGGCCAATTTTCTGGGCGAATAATGGAAATAGGCACGGATTCGCTTAGCTGCGGGCGAATAACCATTTCATTAAACAAATTCCTCAAACATTGAAGGCTGCATGACTACGCCACTCGTTCAATGAAATAAATGTCGGTTTTTCACAGTCACAGTCCCTCTATCATAGATATGATGGGAAGATACGATTTTGAGGGCAGGTTTTTCAAATGAGGCTGGGGGGGGGCACCCAACACAAACAAACAACTCACCTGTCACCTCATCAAATTCTTTGCATGTCTATGTACCTTTTTACACATCGTCTCAAGTACTGGTAATTAAGGTAAAAGCTTACTCATAAATGCAAATACCAAGAATTTATTCATTTTCCAATAAATTGTACTCCAGGGCTTAGGGATCTAATTTCTGAGAAAATAATGATTGTATTATAATGCTTCAACCATAGGTTCTGATATCTAAAATATTATGTCATATCTCAAGTTGTAGGCTGTTTACATAGAAAAAAATGATGTATTGAAAATGGATACTTTTTGTTGTCTTGAATTATTTCAAAAAGTGTCAAAAACTGCAGTTTTTCTTAAACATTACGACGTAGTAACGCATTGGATTTGACAAATTTCCATTCCACGTCTGATAATGTGCTATGCATATTTGATGATGGTATATTTTGATAAAGTAAGGATATTTTGGCGAAATATTCCTCTCTGAAAAATCAACACTTCAACTTTGAGCTTTAAATCAAAGAAAATCATTTGATTTTTTTTTGCCATAATAACGGTCTGCATCTTTCACACATTGTACTAAATCTCACAGTGAATGGAAACACGCAAATTTATTCATAAAAAAAAGAAAGGGGCGAAAGAGGTCAAACATTTGAAATTATGGAGAGTGGCTAGGAAGAAGACAGTGCAGTTTTTGTTTTTCCAACATTTTTTCCTGTATCGCCTGACATGCAATTTTTTTTTCTCGGTGTCTAGCTTGGAATTTTATTTTTTAAATCTTTCACCCACTTACTTGATTTCGAATGATTTTCCCCTGACAAAGCTTTACAATAAAACTGTTCTTTTAAAAAAACTATGA